TTAATTTTATTTCTAACTTGTTTGCATAATTTTTCAGATTCGTTTTTAAAATGCTGACCAATCAGAGAAGACGTCATTATCCTACGCTTTTGTATTTCAGGCTTAAAAAATCGGGTAATGCAACTAGAGAAATAACCAACTAGCTATCGACTGCTATGTGTATCTAGTGTCAGGCGACGCCGTTTCAACCTGATTGGATCAATGTTATACTTCCCCCTTCACTGATCACGCCCAAAGTCAGTCAAAGTCCTTGCCATCTCATATGACCGCGAAAGACAGCTTTATTAATTTTCGTTTTGCAGCAACATCTAATCTATTAGAGGACGTCTGCATAGTCTGAAAATTTCAGATCGATCGGATGAAGTCTTTCGAAAAGATGCTGAAAACAGAGAGGTGATGCGTATAACGCATAAGGCCTGCAGAATAGAACATCTTACTCCTATTTTACAGATATTCGTTTTGGGTCTTCAACGGATTAGACCGGTGAGTCCGGATGCTGATCTTTCTGAAATGATCGATTTTGGCAGAAGATATATGTTCGTCCTGGTGGCAGTGTAAATTGACTGAATGCGTCGCTTCCGATTACTCAGTCATTCAATCACGATACATTCTCTCCACGAACAAAAAATGTTTTCGAGGTTTTAATGTTCTCACAAGAATATATTGACCTTCCTTACCGGCGGTAACATCCTCGAAAAATTTGTTTATAAACTCTCTGAGGTATGCTTCCAAAAAGTTGGTATATGCGAGTGGTAAGGATTTTTGCACCTTACTGTATATGTAGTTTCGTTAATGACAAATGAGGAGGCACATTCATGTCTTTGATCTGATTGTGAGCATGGTGTTTAGTCGACAGTGCACTACATCCAAATGTAACTACTACACATACAACATGAACTTATATATGAGAGAGATGGAAGAGAAGAGAGAGAAGAAATAGTACAATAAAAGAGAGAGAAAGGAAAGAGGAAAGATATAAAAGAATATTACGCAGTATTTAATTAGCTAACAGTTGTTCTTGAAATGACGTTCATTTGCATATGTAAATCATACTGATCTAATCATCTAGAGACAGTATGCTCATTAATATTGTATGACGTAATCTTGATTGGTGTGATTAGAACGGATGGCATCTCTCTTGGCACATGAACAGATATAGAGGAATATTAGGGAAAGAACACATAGGCAAGAGCAGAGTATATAATTTACGAGCGAACAATGATATAGAGTTAGAACCGCATTATGACAGAAAGAGAACACGGTTCCATCATGTATAGATAAACGTAATAGTAACACGATTGTGAAAACTACGTATCATTGATTGTACAAGAATATGCTGAGAAAGTAAAGATATCATATAGTACTATATGTCTAATGGCACAATAAGTGTTTTCGTCTATTTTTTAGGAGCTGTTTTTCTATTGTTTTCCGCAAAATCAATCAGATTTCAAGACAAATGAACCCAAATTTGAATTTATCATGTCCAAAAACCTCTATGTTGTCATTTTCCCAACAGTATTTTATGCCTTTGTCTGTTATTTTAGGAACTGTGTTCCTATTGGCTTCGGGACAAACAATCAGATTTTCAGGAAAATGGACCTCAGATTTCAACTCATCATCATCAAAAACCTTTGGTTCCATGTGTTTCTGTGTGTTCACGAACTGATGTTTAATAGTACTTCTATAGGAGACAATACTGCAATTTGATTGATTAACAACATAGACAGGCTTTTTCCGGGCGAAGGATCAACTATTTTTGAAAAAAAGGTAAATGTTGATGTTCCCTAGATGAGAACAGGATTCATGGAAAGTTTGATTGCATTTGCCTGTATAGTGTGCAAATACATAAAGAACAAACAGACACACATTCTTCTTTGTATATAAGATAAATGCTTGCATCACGTTTACAACACGTTTACAACATGTTTACAACACGTTTATAACATGTTTACAACACGTTTACAACACGATTGAATCGAATACAGGTTCATAATGTCATTATTTAACTTTGTCACGAGATAACTACATGGGACCCACGGCATTGCGTCGTACTTTCCGAAAAGGTATCCGTTCTCGGATCCAATTAATGAGTTCAGGAAACAATCCCAAACATACCCACGGTTGTAGAAGGCATACAAAGTAAATAAGATCCATAGTATAGTCTGTTTGAATGTCGGCAAAGAAGCTCAGGGTAACCATTTGCTGAATGACTGCAATAACGAGAGCAGGTAGCCATGCAAAAAAATAAAGACACGAAATACTTAATAGCTGAAGTGTCAAGCGTCGTTGTTTTCGCCAGTTGATAGACTGATTAGTGCGGCGTTTCTGTCGAATTACTCGTATTATGAGTGCTACATTAGCCAGAATAATGACAATCATTGGGAGACCATTGTTTGTCACCCAGTCATACGTAGCCAATACCTTGTTGTAGAGAAGATAGCAAGCAGTAAAACCACATACATTCAATGAATAGTCCCACTGAGTACCATCGCATGGATAGAACACGATGCTCACCATGTAGAAAGTGAACGGATAGACAACAAAGAATAGGAGAGGTAAATCATGAATTAAAACACGCTTCCAGCGAATGCGCAATAGGCGAGGCTGAAACACAAGTATATGTCTCTGAACAGAGATTGTTGCCATCAAAAGTTCACTCGTTGTATTGAGATTGTACTCAAGAAGCGACCACCACATACAATAGACTGGCGAAGCTGGGATGACGCGACCCATACGATAGTAGTGGATAGGCATCGGTAGATCGAATGCAACTTCAATAAAATTGATAATGAGTAAGACTAGCAGGCCTTGATTCTGTTGGGCACGTAAAAGACTACGATGTGTAATGAAAAATGTAAAGATTAATAAATAGATCCCGATGGTTGGAACTTGTAGTGTGATCAGAAATGCAAATTTAAAACGATGAAGAGCAAATTTTTTATCTTCGAACGGTTCTATGTCGCTGTTGTTGTTCATCTTTGTCAGAGCAAAAGAATTTTGAAAATCAGATTAATTCGACTTGTAAAGATTGATTAATTTTTTGCTCGATGGAAAAAAAATGATCAATTTGGATAAAAAGACACCTATTTCTCTAGAAAAAAAAAACATTCGATACAAAAACAATTATTTTTAACGTGGTAAGAAAATCAAAGTTTTGACATGGCCATGAGAATAACTCGCGAAAAAATGCTTTAGAAAACGATCGATCGCTAGAAACATATTCAATATTGTGACTGATCTTTAATAATGATGGCTGGACAGAATAAAACTAGAAAATGAATAATCGTTTAAGTGTCCATTAAAAGCATTGTAAATTATTTCCTCTTATCAAACTCTTCCATAGATGTTTTTTCATATGAAAGGTGTACCTAACCGTTGGTGAACGCATCTTATTCTCTTCGATAAAGTTTCACATATCAAAACTAAATAGTAATCAATCTCATAGAATTTGTAGAATAGTGCATTATATCACCTATTCGTTCACGATGGTAAAAAATGAATCCAAATGGCCTATACTCTTTGTAAAAGACTGTCATTGTCGATGTTGGTTTTTTGGATGAAATACTTTCTATATGATGATTTTCTCCAATATTTCGTCTCAAAGTATTCTGCGTTAATTGTGCTCATATAGTGTTACTTTGCGTGTCAAGGAGTACCTACCACAATTACATAGTTACGAGTATCTACAACTGCCAAGTTTATCACTTTCTGGTATTTCTAACTATTGTTACGTATTATATCAGTGACTATATAAACAAAGATCATTTCTCGAATATTGTCACTTTCTTACTGATGTTAGTACGTTGAAATGTAAACTTCTTTTTTGCTGCGAGAAAACAAATGAAAGAGAAAGATTAATTTTCTCACATTTTAGTTTTTCTGATTCATCCTATCTAAGAAGGATTACTATCATATTTTAGAATCCTTTAGCATATTAAAGTGTTTTTCTCCTATGGTCCACTCATTCGCGTGAAAATGTAAAGAGATAAACTTGTTAAAATGTGCTGCCACGCGTATGCGCTAAGCAGCTTCCAAGCACGACGGAATGCATATTGTAAGTAGATTTGCCGGTAAACACATATTTTAAGCAGCTTGAAAGCATTTGCTATTAGTTGCATAAGCAATTGAAAGAGTTTATGTATCTGATCGAACATGTTTTTCAATGACAAGGGAACATTCTCAAGTGTTGGAATGTTTTTCAGTCGTAGCCTGGCCCATCTTTTAGCTCTTACTGAGCTGTGTCTATGACAAAAATAATTAGAGTTTTTGGTTTGTTTCTGAGCAGATGGAGTATGTGAATGTGGGTGTGGGGTGTGAGGGGTGTTGGTGCGGGTGCGGGTGTTCGGTGTGAAGGGTGTGAGTGTGGGGTGTGAAGGGTGTGAGTGTGGGATGTGAAGGGTGTGGGTGTGGGTGTGGGTGTGAGTGTGGGCGTGGGTGTGGGTGTGTATAAGTTACCACGATAACCTAAGTTATTTCTGATGTT